CTTCCCATGCTCTCAGTGGAGAGGAAAGCATGGAGAAGAGGGATCTTAGATCAATTACCAAGAGTCTGAGATGCGCAGCCCTAGCAGGATTACTCACATTATGGATCCTGCCAGAAACAGCAGTCTCAAGACAGTTGCCCACTTACACTGTGCTGGGTTGGGGTCATTATGACTATTTGCCTGCACCCAGAGTAGTGCTGTAGCCTTGCTTTTTGCAGAGGACCCTCAGATCTTCCAGAGGTTCACAGGGGTGGCTTTCTTCTTTTGGGTGGTCCTGTGTCTCAGGAAGTTCAGGCTGGGCTCACCAAGAAATGTTACCTTATGGCGGGGCCTTTGGGGCCTTTTTCCCTGTTCTTAGTGTCCCAAACGAAGAACTGGACAAGACACACAGAAATGAAAGCAAAGGTGTACATTTCCTGAAGGCAGAAATGAGGTATGCTCTACAGGGTAAGCATGGGCGGGTGGAAAGGCTCACAGCTTGTATATCTGCTAATTGACTCCTTAACTCCCTTCTTGCTACCTTTTCCCAGATTCAATAAACGTTAATGCTGATGGTAGAGACAAAGGAAATTATTTTATCTATCTATTAGACAGAGGAAATTATTTTTTCTGTCTATTAGAGGAAATTATTTTATCTATTTATCTATTAGTGCTAAAGATTGAACCCAGGGTCATGGATATGCTAAAATTGGCTCTATCTCTGAAGGGAATTAGTTTTGATGGAAACAGTTTATCTTCATGAGTGACCACACACACAAAAGGCTAATTTTTATTTAATTGGCTTTGATTGCTTTTGTCCCTCTTCCCATTCCCACAGAAATTCTGAGGTTCTGGTCTTAGCTCACCTCTTACCACTTTCTCAGGGATTTCATTTATTCCCACAGTTTCAAGTATCCTTAATATTATGGATAATGTCAAAATCAGTACAATTCATTAATTTATTTAACAAATATCTATTGCACTTGCCTTGTGCCCAGTAGCACGCTGCTAGGGCCATACAGTGGACAAAGTGAGAAACGTCTTTGCTTTGCTGTAACATCTCCTTCAAGTTTCCACACTTCTGGCTGGAACTCTAAATCCATCAGGCCCCCAAAGTGGGCTCTTTCACCATCTCCTCCAAATCTGTTTCACAACACTTCTGTGATTTTTTTTTTTCTTTTTTTTTTTTTGGTACCGGGGATTGAACTCGGGTCCTTGCGCTTGCGCAGCAGGCAGCAAAACCACTGAGCTAAATCCCCGGCCCCCTTCCTCTCTTTTTTGTTATGCTAGCAATCAAGCCCAGGGCCTCACACATACCAGGCAAGGGCTGTACCACTGAGCTACACCCCCAGCTCCTTCCATAGCTTCTTGTTTCCTTAAAGTTGTTCTCTCTGCAGCTTCTAGAATAATCAGAAAAACAACCTTCCAGGCTTAGTGGTGGATGCCTGCAATCCCACTTGGTTGGGAGATGGAGCAGGAGGATCACAAGTTTGATATCAGTTTGGGTAATTCAGAGAGACCTTGTCTCAAAATAAAATAAATGCATAAATAAAAAGGGCTGAGGATGTAGCTCAGAATTCCTTGGGTTCAATCTCCAGTTCTTACCACGAAACAAACTCCCTCTCTAACTAAAAAAACAACAACCAAAAAAAAAAACCCCACAAAAATTCCAACAAAACAAAAAAACCTGATATGGCTGTTTTCCTATTCAAATTTAATTTATTTCTACATCCTCATACTCAATCTTACTGTACCCTGGGATAAAACCCAAACTATTTAGCCTGGCTTTTGAAATATATTAAAACCCAGCTCCGTATACATTCTTCCTCCATTCTATTTTTTCTCATAGATACTCTAATACTGGTGTATTTGTAGCTCTCTAAACAAACAAAACTGTTTCCTACCTATCTTCCTGGGTGTTTCGTTTGTTTGAAACTTCCTTTACCTCTCTATAACTAGCTAACTTTTCGGAGATCCTTCAAAACACTCAGGAAATAAAGTCCAAGCCTACTGCAAATAGAAGCACAATACATGCTAAATGAATTTCTGTGTTGCTAATTCTAAAATCTACATTTCTAAAGGTGAACTCCAGAAACTCCACCTGGAGTATCACAGTTTTGTCTGCCTTAAAAGAGGAGGCCGGAATATGATGAGTTCCAGAGTTGCACAGCTTGGTCAGAACCCTAGGAGCACAACACCAGGGGTCACAGTTCACACTATAGCTATATAAATATCAAGTTTGCAATTGTGTAACTTAATGGCTCTGCTTCCTGGTATAGAATCTGGCTCCAACACCCATTAACCGTGACCTTGGACAATTTACTTTCAGCTTTTGGACACTACAAGCCTCATCAGTAAAAATGTACGCAATACACATTTGTCTTCTTTTCTCTCCTTCATTGCTAAGGATTGAACTCAAGGGCTTTTAGTTTTAGACAGGGTCTCGGGGTCTCTCTCTCTCTCTCTCTCTCTCTCTCTCTCTCTCTCTCTGTGTGTGTGTGTGTGTGTGTGTGTGTGTGTGTGTGTGTGTGTGTTGCCCAGGGTAGTCTTGAATTTTTATTTTTTTCTGGCCTTGAATTTATGGTCTTCCAGCTTCAGCTTCCCACATAGCTGGGATGATAGGCATAGCCACAATGCCTTGTTCTCTTCTTGTTGTTTTGTTGTTGTTGTTTTGTTGTTGTTGTTTTGAGACACGGTCTTGTCATGTGGTTCAAGTTGGCCTTGAACTCACTAGCCCAGGCTGAACCTCCGGCCTCATCCTCTGAGTGCTAGAATTCGAGGCATGCACCACCATGCTTGGCCCTCTCTTTTCACTCCTAAATGAGGCAAATAAACAGGTGTCCAGCTCAGTGTCTTCACTGTGATGGATACACTTGATAGTAATTTTCTCTTGCTGAAAGACTGTATTGTTTTGTTTTGTGTTTTGGTACTTCGGATTGAACCTGCACTTGGCAGGTAGGCAGGCAGTGGAACCACTGAGCTAAATCCCCGGCAAGACTATATTGTTTTATTGGTTTAGCATACCATAGCAACAGCCATCCATTATTTACTTCAAAACCTCTGCTGTCCTTGCTTCCTCAAGAAAGAAATGATTAATGCCAAATAACTGTTCTGCTTCTAGCAGAGAAAGGAAAAAAATCACTACTGTCATAAGGAAGGATGATATATACCAAAAAGTTGAGAGGCTTAGCCAGCATGACACAGCACTTCCCCATTTCTTATTGTACTATAAGGGCCAAGGATGTTAGGCTAGGGGCAGAGAGAGGGACATAATTCCGTGTTAAATGCAGCCCAGGCATGATGGCTCACACCTGTAATCCCGGAATTTGGGAGTCTGAGGCAGGAGGATTGCAGTGTGTTCAAGGTCAGTCTGGGCTACATAATGAGTTCAAAACCAGCCAGGGCTGGGGAATTAGCTCAGTGGCACTGTGCCTGCCTCTCAAGTGCAAGGTCCTGAGTTCAATCCCTAGTACGGCGGTGGTGGTGGGGGGACCAACAAGCCCAGCCTGACCTACATAGTGAGACCGTCTCAAAAACAACAAACTGAGCTCCTATTTTATATCAAGCACTGTGTTGTGACTGAGGGGCACAGGTGGATGTGACTCAAATGCTACCCCTCAGAAAGTCAGTCTAGCAGGGAGAAACAGACATGTAAACAAGTAAAATACAGTACCTCGAAAGTGTTTTTGGTGGTACAGTTTGAGGGTATTATTTGTACATAGAGAAAGCAATGGTAAATTTAAGGAATAAGGAAGCTCAGTAAAAGTTTTAGAAGAATTGTGGGTATGAAACAAGGTTAGGAACAACTTTAGAGGAAGTAATGCTTCAGCTGAGGTTTTTTTTTTTTCCTCTAGGTCAACTAGGGCAGAAGGAGTTTCCCTCTGGAATAAAAGACAAGAGTTGTCTGTAATTCCAGGTATGGGGAGGCCAAGGTAGGAGGAGTCAGTTTCTGGAGGTCAGCCTGGGCAGTTTAAAGACACCCTGCCTCAAATAAAAGGGCTAGAGCCTGGCGTGGTGGAGCATGCCTGTCAATCACACACTCTGGAGACAGAGGCAGGAAGATCGAGGTGAATTTGAGGCCAGCCTGGTCTGCATAGTGAGGTCAAGACTGGCCTGAACTACATGGTGAGACTTTGTCTCAAAAAGCCAATAAAATAAAATAAAAGGGCAAGATGTAGCATGAGTGAGTTCCTAGGATACAATCCCAGGATCAGAGAAGGGAGTGTAGAAGAAAAAAGCTAACAGGCTTGTAATGGTCACACTGTTCTGCATGTTATCCAATGAGGACAGAAAAGTTATAGTAGTAATAATAGCTAACCTTTTCACTGTGTAATAAGAACCTGGGTCTGTGCTGAATAAAGTACTTGATTGCCTCAGTGAAGTATAAGTATTATTCCCATTTTACAGGTGAGAAAATTAACGTTTAATTGGGTTAAGATCTGCCTAAACTCACATGCAAAATGACTCTAGAATTTTAACTCAGGAAACTGACTACAGAACCCGTTTTTAAATTACAAATTAGAGGAGTGACAAGACCAGATTCAGAGACTTCCTTTAGCGTAAGGAACCGCCCATTGGGAGACAGAAGCATCCCTGTCTTCCAGAGAACAATGTGGGAGGCTGTCTCCATGCAGAGGGTTACTGAGGATCAGCCTCGGGCTGAGGCTGAGGGACCGGTAGAGACTTGAGAAGTATTTATTAGGCTGTTGTCAGGACTTCGAGTGGTTAGACGTGGTCTTCCGTAGGCAGCGGCGAGGACCCTCACCCATGTTTGTTTGTAGAGGACACAGCATGCAGGGGTCCTTGAGGTGTAGTCTCGATTCCCCCCAGATGCCTGATTAAAGGACAGGGACGTCACTGGGGCACCTCACTCTCAGACCTCAGGCACGGGCGGCGGCGGTGGGGAGTACGGGTATTTTCTGGGTCCACTTCTGCTCCCACCGAAGAAAACACCTGAGTCATCTTGGCCGGACTGACCAGGAGGGGCGGGGCTCCGCCACGTCCCCCTTCTCTCCCCTCCTCTCCCCTCCTCCCGCACCCCCAGCCCGCTCAGACTCTCGCGAGAACGCAGCAGGGTATAAAGGCAGCGGCACACGCGCGCTCTTTGCGCGTCCTCTTCCTCCCTGGTGTGAGTGACCTGTAGCTAAGAGACCTCGTTGTGGGAACTGGTGAGTGTGCGGGCAGCTCTGCCTTGTTGGAGTCAGGTAGGCTGCCTCTCGTCCCGCAGGTCCCCTTTTCCTCCTCCGGTTCCGACGCTGCTGTGGAGTGAGGCAGCCGGGCTAGGCCTGGTGCCCGCGCGTACTCGGCGCTGTGCGCGCACTTCGCATGTCTCGCGTAAGTGCGGGGGCCTAGAAGAGCCCTATGGTTGACTTCGAGTCTCCTCTTCCCCTGGCAGCCCGAGCAACATGCGATGATTGGCGCGGCCAGGTGGGCTGGTGACAGTGGAGTCTTTTCCCCTACCGACCTGCCAGCTAGGGTTAACTCTGACTTCGCACACCTTGTGCTGGTTGGCCCGGGCTTTCCATAAATGCTAGGGTAGGGTGATGTGGGCGTGGCAGGGAAGTATATGAAGTGGGTTTGGGGATATGGTCCTCACCGGGGCTCTTGGGCAGAGGTTGTGAAGGGGACCGGCACTGGGCGGAAGTTAGCCTTTCCCGGGTGTGGTTGAGCCTGCGGACGTGGGGGCCACCTAGCAAAGCGGGTTTGGAGGAGGAGACCGTTTATGATAGATAGGATTACACTCTTTGTCACTAAGTTGCAGCATGCCTAATTTTTTATTCTTGTTAGAGTGTTAAAAGATTTTTTAAAAAATGTTTTTCAGTACTGGGGATTGAATCCATGCCCCTTCCACTGGTTTTTTAAAAATACTTTTATCTTTGAGACATGATCTCACCAAATTGCCCAGACTATGCTCGAACTTGGAGTACATCTATCTCAGCCTCCTAGAGTGCTGGGATCACAGGATTACACCACCACACTTGGCCTAGATTTTTTTTAATGATAAAAATTCGCAATGATTGATAATCGCAACGGTTCTTCTGGTTATGGTATTATGAACCAAGAACTTAGAGACTTGGAAAATAGTTTCTTGGGGCTTTCAGAACTTTTCAGATGGATGACTTGCTAGTTTTTTTTTTTAGCTATTTTCTCTTTTGGTACCAGGAATGGAAACCTGGGCCTTGGCTTGTTACGCCGACAGTGTACTGCCTACACCCTGGGCAGCTTGATGGTTTAAATCTCTTGTTGTTGACCTGGGTGAATCCATTGTTGCTTTTTAGCAATAAATTAACTTTGGTGGGCTTGACCCTGAGATCAGAAACCTTTTTTTGTTTTTTGAGACAAAGTCTTATTGTGTAGTAACAGGCTGGCCTCGAACTTGGAGAGATCTTCCTGCTTCAGCCTCCCAAGTAATGGGATTACAAGCGTGCACCCACCCCGTGTGGCCAGAAACCTATTTTTCTTTTTTTTTTGGTACTGGGGATCGAATTCAGGACCTTGCGCTTGCTAGGCAGGTGGCAGAACCACCGAGTTAAATCCCTGGCCCCAGAAACCTGGCTTTTTTTTTTTTTTTTGGTACCAGGGATGGAACTCAGGTCCTTACACTTTCAAGGCAGGTGGTCAAACTACTGAGCTAAATCCCTGGCCCAGAAACCTGTTTTTGAAAGGTCTTTTGGCTGAACAGAACACCTAAAGTTTTGAAACTGAGCAGATGCCAAAATACTGCACTTGCCTCTTAAAGTTGGGAGTGGCTTTACATTTTTCTCTCTTGGACAAGGCTACCTGGGAGAAGGTCAGATTTGCATCCCATATTATGAAACAGATGTAGGCAGAGTTCAGAGAAAAGATAACATGACGGTTTAGGGGAGCTAGGCATTTGGTGTTTGTGGCATTGTGCCTTGTGGGTTATAGTTGGACTCTACCTCCTCCCCTTTCTTTCTTCTTTGGTCTTGTGAATGTGCAGAACAAAATGCAATTGTGCAAAGGATCGTTCAGAAAGGATGGTAGGTGATTGGGTTTATAAAGAAATTGCCAAACTGCTTTTAAATGAAAACAAAGGCTGAAGTTTAGAGACTTGGTTTGGTCCAGAAATTAGAATGCTTAAGATCGTGACCACCAGCCTGTCTCTTACAAATATGAAATTTATGTATTCACTTTGCTGTTTTTTGTTTTTGTTTTTTGAGACAGGGTCTCACTGTAGTTCAGACTGGCCTTAAACTCACTTTGTAGCCCAGGCTGGCTTCTGAAGCAATCTTCCTGCCTAGACTTCTTGAGGGCTGGGATTACTGGCATGCTTCACCACACCCAGCACTTGATTCATCTGTAGCTAAGTTTCTAAGTAGATGAAGGCTTTTGGTTCTCTAGAAAAATTAATTTTTAATTTCTGTTTTCTTTTCCAGCTGATAAACAAGATGTCTTCAGGAAATGCCAAAATTGGGCACCCTGCCCCCAGCTTTCAGGCCACAGCTGTTATGCCAGATGGTCAGTTCAAAGATATCAGCTTGTCTGACTACAAAGGTAAGATTAATTACATAGGCTTATTAAAGAGGAATCATATTATAATCTAGGTATGGTTTATTAGATTTGTCTGTTACATTTCACTATAAAATGTTCTCTTTGTCTCCTAGGACAGAGTTGAGAGCAGAAGGCTGTTGCCTTTGTCTTAGTAGTAATTATGGAGAGTGATCACAAGGATAGATTCAGGTCCTAGGTCCAAATTGATTATGGAGAAAGGATGTTTTGTCGTATGTGGACATACTAACCCAATTATCTTTTCAGTATACTTGTCCCTGGTTATATTGGAGAAATTCTCATTATCTCTTGTCACAAGAGAACTTCTACATTGAGAACCTCATAGCTCAAGTCTTTGGAGCTGTAACTTTGCTTGTTCCGTTTTTGAAATGAGTGCATCACAACTCTTATCCAGGGGGCCTAGGCTCATTTCCCTTGACTGTTTTGCCCCAGACAAGAGTCAGTGTTACGGCTGACTGTTGGAACGACTCCCATTCCTGTTGTCATAGTTTGGTATAGACACTTGTTAAGTTCTGTCAAGACTCTTCCTTGTCTTGCAGTCTTAACTTGTTTTTCTGTGACAATTGAGGCTGTAGATTACTTAGAACGCAAATCTGAATGTTAGTGTCACTGTGCCTTAGTGACCTAGTCATCAGTTCCTGGAGTTCACTTTTGGGCAAACCTTCAGTTATCACATTTTGTTGGATAAGTGCAGTAAGTGGGGCCCTGTGGAGGAATTCTTCCTAGTAAACAAGGTAAATAGTACCATAGGGAAGTGACCTGGCTCACAGGTATAGGGACATGATCGAGGAGGAGCTGCTCTCTGCCCTCTAGGGTTTGATCTGTTGGAGCTTCAAAGTGCTTGTTAGACAAAGCCCTGGAGAGATTTTTTAGCTGATTGGAGGTCTGGTTGTTTTGACTTTCATATATTGCTGCTACCTGGAAATCAGTGAATATTTGGAAGTGTTCCAGTAGCTCATCCCATTAGGTATGGTGAGAGGGTTGTTGCATGACCAGTTTGAAGGTGTATTTCAATGGTATTCTAAATGATGAGCAAAATTGCAGCTAAAAGTCTGATTAGGACTCTTGGAACTTTTGCTTATAAAATTTTTCTTGTCCTGTCCTGTCAGGCTTGTTAGGAACATTTATTGTGATTCATGAGATCACTTAAACCTTACCATCCCATTCCTATGGCTCATCATGGAAGAAAGAAGTGCAAAGGGTCTCACTTCCACTTATTGGTCTTTTATCACTTTGCAGCCAAGGAGAACCCAATAATTCTAACTCAGCTTTTTCTGAGCACTGTTTGTAAGCATTGGCATTAGACTGTCTAGTAAATGTATTCTTGCTTTTGCTTTTTTTATTAAAGAACTTGGTTTATGCTAATAGAGAAGATCAAAATTAGTTTGAACAGTGTTTATTCTGTACTTCCTAGCTAAGAACATGGAAGCAGGAGAATAAATCATGGAACTAGAACTTTTCATTCTGCTCTTCTGCTGGAACAGCTTATAAAAGTAGCTGCTAGGAGATACGTATATTGAGCCTCTTAGCATTGAGGTATTACTGGGCCTGTCATCAATTTTATAAAAGGCCTCTTTTTCCATAGGAAAATGTCTTTGACTTGCTTTCTTTTTTTGGTACAGGGGATTGAACTCAGGACCTTGTGATTGCCAGGAAGGGCGCATTGACTTATTTTGTATAAAGCAAGGAAGTCTGTTTCAAGACTAACCTGTATAACTCCTTTTTTTCCTCCCAGGAAAATATATTGTGTTCTTCTTTTACCCTCTTGACTTCACCTTTGTGTGTCCTACGGAGATAATTGCTTTCAGTGACAGGGCAGAAGAATTTAAGAAACTTAACTGCCAAGTGATTGGTGCTTCTGTGGATTCTCACTTCTGTCATCTGGCATGGTAAATCTTTTGGTCCATTTGGCATGTGGACTGTGAAGCAACTGGGTTTTGGCAATAGACTTTTCTCAAGTGTTGACTTCTGGCTCCAATGGAAGGAGTGCAAAAGCTGACTTCCTCTTAGTGCTCTCTTATTACCTGGCAGCAGAGGAGAAGCAGCTTCAGTTGCAGCTGAGTGTACACTAGTGACCATTCTTAAATGTTCTCAAACATTTATTTTACTGCTGGAAAAAGTCTGAAGTTTTAGGGGAATGTTAGATAAAGAATATGGGGAGAGGAAGGAATAGGTGTTATAGATGGCACACATGAAACCTTGTTTAAATAGGCTTTTTTTGTGAGGAAAAGTTTATTCTATTGAACAGAGACTAAAATCAGGGAGATTCTAGCAGCTAGCTGGGAAAAGGTGAGTTTATTACATCAGCATGTGGATGGGCTGACATTGGGAGAGAGAAATAGCAGCTAGCTGGCAGAGATTTCATCTGTGAGTGGATGGGCTAACACCAGGGCAGAGATATTAGCAGCAACTGAGAAAGGAATTAGACTTATATAGGTACTGAAGGGGCTAAGGAATCTGCATGAAATGTTTATGATTGAGTCCAAGGACACTGCAGGTGTGTAGGTAATCACTGGTCTTCTTGGTGGCCTGTGAGATTGTCTTCTATTTACTGAGAAAAAGCCTGTCTTGCTGAAAGACCTGTTTGCTTTTGTCTTACTTGTTTGTGAAGAATTTACTTAGTTAGGTCAGGCATGACAAGGTAGTTAATATTCTTGTGACACAAGAGTTTGAATGAATGTGATTTGATATGTGCCTGTTGCTGTAGGATCAACACACCAAGGAAACAAGGAGGATTGGGGCCTATGAACATTCCCTTGGTGTCAGATCCCAAGCGCACCATTGCTCAGGATTATGGGGTCTTAAAGGCTGATGAAGGCATCTCATTCAGGTATGTACCTTCTCAGGTAGGGGGACTGGACTGGAATTCATCAGGAGAATTATCCTGTAGGTTGAAGGCAGTTTGGAGAATGCTAAGAGTCCTGATCTGGAGAACACAGTTTCATTTTTGTTTTTTTTTGTTTTTTTGGTACTGGGGATCGAACTCTGGTCCTTGCACTTGCGCAGCAGGCGGCGAAACCACTGAGCTAAATCCCCGGCCCATGCAGTTTCATTTTTTATGCATGGTCCTCACTATTAGCACGGCTGGTTAAGAATTTAAGCTTCTCTATCCTAACAAAGCAAAATTTTAACTTGTACTGCTTTTCCCTCAATCTCTTACCTCCAGAGGCCTCTTTATCATTGATGATAAGGGTATCCTTCGGCAGATCACAGTAAATGACCTTCCCGTTGGCCGCTCCGTAGATGAGACCCTGAGACTCATTCAGGCCTTCCAGTTCACTGACAAACATGGAGAAGGTAATGTCACAGGCTGAAATGAGGAACTTAACCCACCCCTTTCACATAAGTATGCAGGTTCACCAACTCCCATCATAGAAAAATAGTGTTCAGAAAAAAAAAAATAGTGTTCAGGACACTTCAGTAAAAGGTATGAGAGGATTAGAGGTAGATACAGTGATATATGGTGACTATGATGTAGGACCTCCAAATAATCTAAATAATGTAAGGGAAATATAACTCCCAACCTGCTAGATACCTGAAACATCAAGTTTGTTCCCTAAAATCAAAGAATGAATTCTAGAAACAGTGGGGGTTTAGAGTAGGAAGAATTTATGGAGAAAAACATAGCTTCTCCAGCTTCTCTAAGGGAGACAGAAGGGGAATGGGAAGTGGGTTGCCCGACCACCCTGCTTCTCGAAGGTGTTTTATTGAGCAAAGCCCAGAAGTGAGCCTGGTTCAAGGTGGGACAAAACTAGTCAACTAAGATTTCAAGTACAGACCCTTAGATAATATTGATGGAATGGGAAATCACAAGGTGTGACAAAACTATGATCAACCAATAAGATTATAACAAGTATAGACACTTAGATAATGTTGATTAAATGGAGATCACATGCAAATGGCGATCAAATAGGGAAGCTAATCTGGTGTGGTGGCACATGCCTGTAATCCCAACACTTGGGGAAGCTGAGGTAGGAGGATTGCATGAGTTTGAGGCCAGCCTGGAGTACATTGTGAAACCCTATGGGGGGGGGTGGCGCACGGGGTCTTTTAGCAAGGGTATATGGAACCTACCAGTTAGAAGAAATGGGCTAGGGAGGTTTTGGTTCCCACCCAAGATGATACCTAGGGAAAGTATGTGGGTGTAGTTCTTTTTTGAGTGCTGGCTTCAGTAAATGAGCCTCAGGCCACAATTGTCTTTTGTATTGGGCCCACCCCTGCCTAACTGCCTTATAATGTTTTTTAACTAGCTTAGCTATCTACAATAATAAGACACACTTGAGTCAAGAGTGGGTGTTCAGTTCAAGAAATGAGGCACTTGGGGCCAGGGATTTAGCTCAGTGGTGCTGCCGCCTCCCTCTCAAGCACAAGGTCCCAAGTTCGATCCCTGGTACCAAAAAAAAAAAAAAAAATTAGTGCTGTGTGTGGGGAACCCAGAGGTGCTTGAGTGGAATGATCATTGGGGATGAGTGAACACTGGTAGCAGAGAGTCGCCATTTGCAGAAGCCTGTGTGGCCATTAATTAGGCCAAATGGATTGGTTGATACTTCCTGAGACTGCCCCCTTGTGGGAGATGAGGTTCAGCATGAAGACAGAAGGCTGGGGGGGGGAGTAGCAGAGTGGACACCAGATTCTTGAACCCAAGCGTCCATGATTGTGTGTTGGTCTCGTTTCCCATGAATGTTAACCACTATCCGAGATATATCGTTTATTTGAGAGTTAATCCTTTTTGTTTATTTTGAGGTAGTCTTGCTGTTTCAGGCTGGCCTTAAAAGTTGGGGGATCCTCTGCCTCTCTAGCCTCTTGAGGGCTGGAATTACAGGCATGCCTGACGGTTAAGCCTACTTTTTTTTTTTAAAGGACCAGTAAAGTACTTAAATACATCATTTATTCATAGTGAGATTTAAGGCTTTCAGTGCTGGGGCAGTTCTGTCTTACTGAGGTTGGCATCAGTTTTCTCTTGGGATGGTGATGGCACTTTGCTGTACCTGAAGGCTGTTTTATATGGGCTCCAGCCATTTCTGTTGGGATCCTTGGTGATTCTGAAAAGCCAGTTTTGAGTGTATGAGTATGTCTAAGTGGACATCTTCTGTACCGAGTAGTGATATAAAGGCTGTGAGGCCTGGTTCTTTGTGTCATCCTAGACAGGAAACTGGACCCTAAATAAGCACCTACTGGCAAACTTGTGACCGGCTCTGGCCTAGTGTTTGTTTTCATGATGCCTGTTCTGCAGCTTTAGCTAACAACTACCAATAAGATGGAGAGATCAGGACAATGGCAGCTGGGGTTCCCATTTAGTATTTGTTCGATGCATAATCTGACATCTGAGGCTGCAGTATCCTTGAACTCTAAAAGCTTTTCTGTCTCCTAGTTGAGCAAATGAGATACCTATCAGACTTTGGTGAATGTCGGTCTTCTACACCAGCAAATGGAAATGGGAAGATCAGATTAGTTCTCTTGCCTCATTTTCCTCAGACCAGCCCAACCCCCATTGGTAGTTTGCAATTTTAGGAAAGGTTTAAAGGCTGTTTTTTGTGCCTAGTTGTGAAAAGTTCAAAAGCTGCCTTTTGCTTACGTTTAATGGGTAGAAAGAAGACAATTTAATGAAGTAAGCAGGGCTGTGTGATGTGGTGAGGTCCTGATCTTCTGTAGTTTGGCATAATAAAAAATTGCTGAGAAGGCTGACTGTGATTGCTATCAGAGGGAAGCACCAGATATTGTTTTATTTAGTCTTAGCTTAGTTTTTTCTTGTTTAGGGTGGAGTGTTGGAAAAATCATTTAAGCTCCCTCCACCTCTCTCCAGTATTGGATTGAGCCACCTAGGACTTTGGCACTGAGCTGCATCCCTACCCCTTTATTTATTTATTTTGGTACCTGGGATCGAACTTGGCACCTTGCACTTGCTTGCAAGGCAGGCGCCGGAACCACTGAGCTAAATCCCCGGCCCCCCTTTAACTTTAAAAGTTTTTATTTATGATTTGGTACTGGGGATCGAATTCAGGACCTTGCACTTGCCAGGCAGGCATGATGCCACTGAACTAAATCCCTGGCCCAACTTTTTTTTTTTTTTAATATTTTGAGACATGGGCTTGCTGTTTCCCAGGCTGGGCTTAAATTTGCAATCCTCCTGTCTCAGCCTCTTAGTGTTCTGGGATTACATGCATCATTGTGTCTGGCAAATTTTACCATTTTAACTGTAGTTTAGTGGTATTCATTACATTGATGATGTGTATCCACTACTACTATTTTATGCAACTTTTTCATCTAAGTCAAATGTTAACAAGTGACTACTCATTTCCCTCTTCCAGCTCCTGATCTATTTTACCTTGTCTCTAAATTTGCCTATTCTGTATTGTTCATGCCAGTGAAATGAAGTATCATTGTCCTTTTATTTCTAGTTTCTTCCATTTAGCAATATTTCTTTTTTTGTAGTCCTAGGGACCAAACCCAGGGCTATTCTACCACTGAGCTACATCCACAGCCCCCACCCCCTTTTTTCTTTGAGGTAGGGCCTTACTAAGTCACCAACCTGCCAAGGCTGGCTCCAACCTCTCCTACCTTAACGTCCCAGTGTTAAGATTGCAGCCCTATGCTAATTGGCCCAGTGTCCAGCCTCCTTCTGATTTAGTGACAGACTGACCTTAAACTAAAAAAAAGTATAATTGAAGTTATTTAATTTTGGTACATGAATGAGATATAAATGTGCTAGGCCGGGATTACACTATGTTTGTAAAGTAATTAACATGACACTAAAAGGCTGAATGAGATTGCAGGGTAAGTTTCCTGCGCCCAAGACTGTAAGGCTCAGATTGGTTATGAGGCAACCCCACTACTGATGGGAACAGAGTGGTACACACCACTGAGCAGGTTATTAATTAGTTGTTCCTTTTTCTTGCAGTATGCCCAGCTGGGTGGAAACCTGGCAGTGATACTATCAAGCCTGATGTCCAGAAGAGCAAAGAGTATTTCTCTAAGCAGAAGTGAGCACTGGGCCATGAGAACAAAAGCTCTTTTGTATTTTTTTTTCATGCTTTAAACATGAGATGTATGGGGCAATATATGCCTTTCCTACAGGTTTTGGGAAAACCCTCTCCTCTTTTCCTGGTGGTAATGGCCTGAGCTGTGCTGTGGGGTAGACCATCTGATAATGTATGATGCAACAGTAGCAGAGCATCTGCCCATTCAGTGACCTTTTGTAGTCATTAAATTTGAACTGAGACCTTGGTGTTTGTTTTTTTAAATGAGATAACTTTGGGTTTTCCCTCCTTCGGGAGGGAAATGAGAACTGCCTCAGAATCAGAATTATACTAGGAGGGGATACAGGTAGACCCAAGGAACTGGACTATGGTGTTACTGTTTTACTACACCTAGGGGAGAAGAACAAGCCATACTCTGTAGCGTTGGCCAGGGCAGTGCGACATACACAATAGATGGTTACACGTTAAGGTTGCAATGAGATTACTTGGACATCTACATTTACACAACTGGGAGCACTGCATGGGAACCAGAAGCTTGGCCTCTTAAGATATATGCCTAATACCTGCCCTGTAAAAGAAGAGAACTGGAGGCTTTTTTCCCTTTGGAACTGAAAGGGAGAAGACAGCAGCACTGGAAGCCTTGGGTAGAAGTATAATTGTGAATTCAATCATTTCTCCCCTTTGCCACCTTATGTGTCACAACTGCCTTCACACATACTTGTCATTTTATCAACCACTCCAGCCTGTCCACCCCTCCGTGTAACAGACTGAGCCAAACAACAGTAAAGGATTCCTAGGGCCTTTAGTGATAGCCAGCATGCCCTTACCATGTGTTTCAAAGCGCTTAACATTTATTCAGTCCCCACAGCTCAGGTGGTCACTAACTTACAGGATAGTTGCCCCTCAGGCTCTTATCTAGTTAACCTTAGGAGCACTACTTAGAACTAACAGGCAGAGTCCTATACTCCAAGGCAGGTGGTTTCTCGATGTTTGGGTCTTTAATTCTTGAAAACCTAACTTGAACTTTACTCTTTATTGAAGACTTATTTACAAAAACTAGTTATTTTGTATGGGAAATAAAACCTTTTGCTGTGCCAAAGCCAATTTAAGTCCTGGCAAGCACCACCATAAATGGGATCCTACAGGGGATGATAGGATCAAGGACCAGGGGATGCAGGTGGTGAGATACTGGGGCTGAGCCAGCTTCGGCCTCTGAGGGGATTCTGTGGCTTCTTGGTGAGCTTGTTAAAGAGTTCAGGGGATTCATTAGATTCCTGGGAGGATTGGGCTAAGCCTAACAGGGCCAGTCGTTGGGCAGGTGGTGTGGAAAAATAGGCCTTTTGTTCTTCAGAGTAACGCTCTTGGGGTGTCACAGCATCCCGGTAAGTCCAGTCTTGCCAATGGAAATTGAAGCCTTCAAGCAGGGTAATTCGGTCAGCTCTTGCAGGTACACAGTCGGTGGGTTTTTTGGGTAGTAGACCTGGCACTTCAATCCCTGGCAGTAACATCACCCCTCGGATGGCAAACCAGCCTCCAAATCGGGGGTGTATGCACACACCTGCTATGTGCTGGGGAAAACATGAAAAGTATGGTCATGGAAGTTAGCTTGGCACCAAATCCAACTACTATTCCTACAAGCTATCCTTGATTACTTAACTCCTACTCAGTGTATATGATTCCACAGGCCTCTCTTCATTCCCCCTACCCTTTGGTGCAGTACCAGGGGTTCAACCAAGGACCTTTTGTGTTAGCTAGGTATAATACTTTACCATCGTGCCACCCCTCCTCTCCCCGCGCGCCCCCCCCCCCCCGCTTTAAATTGTGGGAAAGGGTCTTGCTAACTGCCCTGGCTGGCCTCAAACTTACTCTCCTTTTGCTTTAGCCTCCTGAGAAGCTGGGATTACAGGTGTGTGTCACTATGCCCAGTGTGGACAACACTTGCATAAACTCATTCTGATTATGAGGAAGGGCTCCCTTAGGCTGAACCTCAAATCAAATTTCAGTCCTACCACTGGTCTCTTGATTATGGCTCTGTCTCTCCATCTTGAGACAGCCCTGTAAGGCAGGGTTTTAAGAACAGACCAGGTTTTCTTTTTCTTCCTTTTTTGGTTTTTCGAGACAGTCTCACTATGTAGTTCAGGCTGATCTTGAACTCACTATGTAGCCCAGGCTGGCCTCATGGCGACCCTCCTACCTCAACCTCCCAAGTGCTGGGATTAGATCAGGTTTTCTGACCTGATGTGTCTCTGGGTAAATTCCAAAAGGCATGTCATGGGGCTGGGCCCCTGGCCAGGGAATTAATGCCTTGTCCTAACGTGCATCAGTTTCATCCAGGGAAGGTGGTGGTATGTGGGACCCGATTGGGCTATTTTGAGAAGCCTTTACCTTTTCCCTCAGTACACCCCCATTCATACACACTTGCTGTCTGACCTGGGATCCCCACGGGTCAGCCTCAACGTCTTGTCGCTGGTAGTAGTAAGCAGCCCCTGCCACATGGGCTGCTGTCTGGGCAAGGATCTTAGGACGCCGATTGGGGTGTACCTCGTAGTCAGCAATGACTTCCACCTGCAGCTCTGGAAGGCTCTGAGACAGAAGACAGGCTCCTGTCAGCATAAAGGGAATTGCGATTTTTGTCCTGGAGCCCTAATTTGTGTGTTTGCTAACATGGTTCTGTCCTCAGAAGTCCTGTTTGAAGGGAAAACATGACCTTTATGTGGGACATTCCAAAGTGAAGTTATAGATTTTCTCTGAGGACACGTGTTTGACGGAAAATGCACAAAGTCTTGCTCAGTAACCTCCATTGTGAACAGTGATTTAGCCTTACCCTTCAGAATCTCAGTGTGGCAACACCCAGAATGTGTACAAATCTGTGTATATGTGAGTTTGTGGTGGTGAAATATTGCTTTGTTCTCTAAAGTCCCCACACATTGCATAAAGCTTGGAAATCTAGGGTAAAGCAGGAGAGAAATGCCTAGAGGATGTTAGGCTCTTTCCTAGTCTGTCTGGAGATGATGACTGCCACCAAGTTCACAGAGTTGCCCATCAGTGTAGGGTGAGTGAGACTAATTTCATACTGGGGATCTGCTAAAGGGGTAGAACCTGGGTGTGAGAAGCAGAATGGGGTGAAACCACAGAAAGTCAAATCTGGCTTTAGGGTATCATTTCACCTGTGAAGTCGCTCCAAGCCCTAGGTCTAGATCTCGGATTGATCTTAGTGAAGATGGAAGCAGGTGTAAGTTTCAGGGCTGGGGAAAACTGAGCCCTGCTCACCTCTATAACTCGTCTCAGGTGGTAGGCCACACACTGATCCACAGGGTCGGTCAGTGGCTGGAGGTGGCAGCTCTGCAAGAATGGTTTGAGGGCCCGGTCAAACATTGCAGGTGTGCTGAGTACCAGGAAGGCCAGGGTAGGTCCCGGCAGGGACAAGTGGAAGGCTGAAGGCAGGAGTTCATTGTACCAGGCCACCTGGAATAGAAAGAAAAGTTTAAGCCAGGCCAGAGAGCCAGCTTAGGCCTTAGCCACTTCCATACCTTTGCCTAGTATTCAAGATTCATACATTTTGCCTCAGCTGCCATCTCATTGAATAAATTTTCACTGATGCTGTGTAATGTATCCACAGTCTGTTGTATGGGCAACTCATCTGAATTTGACAGGGATTTAAAAGAGAGAGGAGAGGGCTAGGGATGTAGCTCAGTTGGTAGAGTACTTGCCTAGCATATTCGAACCCCTGGGTTCAACCCCCAGCACTACAAAATACAATAGAGAGGCACAGAGTTCATAAACTAATAACAGGGCCGGGGATTTAGCTCAGTGGTTCCACCTCCTGCCTCGCGAATGCAAGGTCCCAAGTTCGATCCCCAGTACCAAAAAAAAAAAAAAATCCATAAACTAATAACAATGGAAATCGATCATACTATGATTAGTGCAATGACAGTTCTTTGAAATTAGAAAAGGCTTTCTTAGAAATTCAGTCTTGAAGACTGGTAAGGAAACTGAAAGCTGACACAGGGAGGGAGAAACTTCTGGGGTTTTGGTGGGGGGTGATTTGAGATGGTCTCACTATGTAGTTGAGGCTGGACTCAAACTAGTGGTGATGTTTCTGCCTCAGCCTCTCAAGAACTGGGATTATAGGCATGCACCTGGCAGTATTACATTTTGAGCATTTAAAAAAATATGTAAAATACATGCTGGATGTGGTGGTGCATGTCTGTAATCCCAGCACGTGGGAGGCTGAGGCAGGAGGATGATGAGTTTGAGGCCAGCCTGGGCTACATTGTGAATTCAAGGACAGCCTCAATGACAAAGTGAGACCTTCTCTCAAAAAAACCAAAAACCAGGGCCGGGGATTTAGCTCAGTGGTTTTGCCGCCTGCTGTGCAGGTGCAAGGACCTGAGTTCAATCCCTGGGACCAAAAAAAAAAAAAAAAAGAAAACCACCCCAAACCAAACCAAACAAAAACCCAAACCTCAGTGGTTCCCATCTATGTTATTAATATCTATCCCTTTAACAATATTTTAACTTTTTAATTAGTGTATGTTTGCAATACATAGTAGTTCTATTCACTTTGAGGAACTGGTACTTATATAGCATATCTTAATCATTTTCAATCCCTATCCTCACCCCCATTATGTATTTTAAACAGAGTTTACAGGATAAGCAAAGGCAGAGGTAGAAAAGTACTGAGCATATATGGAAAAGAGCAAACTAGTTTAGTGGAAGTGAAGGGTCTATATCAGAAAACAGAGAGGGCCGGGGATTTAAATCAGTGGTTTCGCCGCCTGCTGCGCAAGCACAAGGACCCAAGTTTGATCCCTGGTACCAAAAAAAAAAAAAAAAAAAAAAAACAGAGAAACCTGGAGAGGTGAGGAGTGAGATTGTGACTAACCCTGAACACCAATTTAAGGACTGTGGATCTAATCTGGTGACAATGAGGAGCCACTGCAGATTTAAAGAGTAAAGTGAGCGGTGCATATGAAGCCCAGTGGTACAGCACTTGCCTAGCATGCTTGTAGTATCAAAACAAAATCAGCTTTAGGAAGATCTGGCTGAAGTGTAGAGTATGGACTGGAGGCAAGATGACAGTAAGGAGGTTATTACAGTAACCCAAATGAGCAACAGTGGCTTTGACCAGAGCATAGATAGGAAGGATGGAAAGGGATGGATTTGCAAGATTCAGGAGACAAAGATCTTGCTGGCTGACTTGATGTAGGTTTGGGGAGGTGAGGAGTAGGAGTTCACAATAACTAGCAGGGCTGGAGCTGATTCTGTTCAGCACAATAGTTCTTACTACCCAGATTACCTGACTTGCCAGATAGGCATTCTCACTCTCTTCTACATCTGCCATGCATCACTATTTCCATAATTTTACTCATATTGAATTTTGGGATGTAGATACTCCTTCTTCCTTCTAATTTGCTTCCTTTTCCTTTTTTTTTTTTTTTGAGACAGGATCGTGTTGCATAGTTCAGGCTGGCCTTGAACTCACTATGCAACCCAGGCTGGGTTTAAACTCGCAGCAATCATCCTGCCTCTGCCCCAGCTTTTTAAAATTTATTTTTTAAAAATTTTATTTATTTTTTGTACCGGAGATCAAACTCGGGACCTTGCACTTGCAAGGCAGGCAGAGGCACCACTGAGCTAAATCCCAGCCCCTATCTTTTTATTTGAGACAAGGTCTCACTTTGTAGTTTAGGCTGGCCTCGAACTCATGGCAATCCTCCTGCTTCAGCCTCCCAAGTGCTGGAATTACAGGCCTGTGCCATCACGCCTGGTGCAGCTTTTCATATGTAGCTCAGTTTCACCCCCCTCTTTTTCTTCCAGTGCTGAGGATTAAACATGCTAGTCAAGTGCTCTACTACACCCCTAGCCCTTAACTTCATTTTCTTGTCAAGTCCTTTCTCAAGCTACATCCAACCTATTTCACACTCTAAATTCTCTTTGCAGCACTGCTGCGGCCCTCTCAGTGGAATGAGTAGGAAGTAAGGCTGCCTCTTAAGCAGCAAGCAAAGCACTCACGCCAAGTCGATTTAACTTTGTGTTTTATGTGTACGGCTTAGTCCAGCCAGCACTGAGGTAGGGGAAATGAACTTATGTAAAAAGGCCAGGGGTGGGTGGCCGAGACTTCTGTGCCAGGCGGGAGCTCATAATTTCTGTACTCAGCCCAGCACTGTCGGTCAGCAACATCATGAATTACCCTTCTGTTGGTACATGGAACAAACCAGCCAACTGTTTCTTGTTCAACATCAGGAATGCCCTTCCTGTCTTAGTTCACCTAAATCACAGCCGTGCCAATCTTTCACGTCTTGCCCTTTCCTAACTCCTTTAGGAGCTTTCAAGGTGATTCTGACCCCATAGGTACCTTTCTTCTTGTAAATTACGTAGGTAACAAAACCACACAGGTTACAGGATCGCATTGTGGTAAAAGACTTCATATAAGGGTAAAAGGCAAACGTACGGCTGCTTCTTTGCATTTTTTTTTTTTTTTTTTTAAACGCGTGTCCTCGCTGACACACTGTCCCAATCTTTAGTCACCCCAGAGGAGTTTGGGGAGGATCAAAAGGCTACCGGGGTTTCAAGCCAGTTCCACCGAGGCCAATCGCACACCTCACCCTAGAACCGCAGGAGGAATAAACCAACCTGAAAAGGGTAAACCTCGAAGCCGAAAGGACACAACGTGTCTTCGATCTTCTGCTTGAGATCTGCTGCAGGCGGCTCCATAGCTCGCGCTACACGCTGAGCTTTCTGGGAAATGGAGTCTCAAGGACAACTGGGCCGTTACTTTCTAAAATAGTTTGGACTCCATTTCCCAGAAGCTACTAGGAACAGCCGCGGGTAGCGTTGGAGCTGGGCCGTGCATTCTGGGACTGGTAGTCCATTTGTGTTTCGGAGCCCATTGTTACAGAATTTAGAGGACTCGGTGTCCCGACAAGCTTCTTGGTGGGGGTGGGGGTGGGAAACACGTAATCTTCCGGGGGAAACGTAGGTCGGCCACCGCCCCGCGCTGGTTGTCTCTAAAAGAGGCGGGCTCAGTTTCCTGGGTGATGTTGCCATACCCAGTCCGAAATCCTACTTTCTCCACTTACTGCAGGGTTTGAACTTAGAGGCGGCAGTAAACACTCACACAGGTTTGGCGTGATGTCGCCAGAGTCTCGGCGCCTCCTCCAGTCACTTGATATCTGCCTGTCAGGGTATTTCGATTTCCTCCTGGTTTCCCAAAAATGCCGCTCCTTTGCCTAGTGCCAGAGTCACAGTTTTGGTGTTATTGCATCCTCACTCACCTCTTTCCATTCTAACGCCTTTCCTGTACTGTGCCTTGGGTGTAGCCTCCTGGGAGAGCAGGGATAGGAGAACCCAGGGAGCTAAACCCCCACCACAGGATGAGTAGGAACCTGAGCTGGTTTGAGCAGCTTGATGCACTTCTGAAGGCAACTGATGGAAATGCGGCCCGGATGAAGGTGAGGAGGTACAGGTTGTTGTTCGTAGGCAGGACAGGTTAAAGGACAGTCAGAGCTCATTGGCCTGTGCCACTATTTCTTTTGTAGCAGAAGCTGTATCCCCTGGGGGTCTCCATCACAGGTACTTACTGACCCTTTCTATTCCCTAGCCTTTTCTCTGTCCAAGATCTGCCTTCTTGCAGTGCCTGTACCATCCACTATTCCTTCCAAATTCCAACTCTTTCCTGAGCAATATTCTCCCCCACATTCTGTTCTCCCACAGTTCTTTCCCACGTAGATTTTGTCCTTGTACCTTCCTTATTCCCTCACAGGAGACCTGGCTGGACCCTGGATTTCCTCTTGTCAGTTGCCTACCCAATTAGAAGCCCAAGCTAAACAGCCTTGGGCTCTAGAGACTCCCTCGTCCGAGAGAGTTTGAGCTGGGCTGAAGCCTATAGACCATCCTTTCTCTGGGATGAAGTTACTATTCTCCAATCTCAGCTTCAATCTCAGTCTCAGGTAAGGCTTGGAATTGTAGGTTTTTATGAGATGAGACTACCACAGTTGGAAAACCCTCTTATACAGTAGCTCATATTTTTTTCTGCCTGGTAGGTGACTGAAGCACTGAAGCAGGCTGTACAGGGACTGCTGAAAGAGTGATAGCAGCAGATGTAAAAGATCAGTGCCCTGGAAGGTATCAGGCCAGTTTTTTTCTTTTCTTTTTTTTTTTTTGTACTGGGGATCGAACTCAGGACCTTTTGCTTGAGAGGCAGGCAGCAGAACCACTGAGCTAAATCTCTGGCCTGCCAGTTTTTTTCTTTATACATACAGTTTTGTTTTGTTGCTGGGGATTGAACCCAGAGCTTTGAACATGTTAAGCATGTGCTCATCCACTAAGTTCTACTCTCAGTCCTTTGTATGTGTGCACACAATTTTTTTTTTTTTTTGGAGATAGGGTCTCACTATCAGGCTGACCTTGAATTCACTATGGAGTCCAGGTTTGTCTTGAACTTGAAGTGATCCTCCTGCCTCAGCCTCCCAAGTGCTGGGATTACAGGCATGGGTGCCACCAGGCCCAGCTTGTGCACACAGTTTTTCAGCACACCTCTTCTGTGCACATGTCTTAATTTGCAAGTGGCATCTGTACTCATATGTGAAGTTCTCAGAGGGACTGTCTCTTCACTTGTCCCATTGTAGCATCATTAAAGTTGCTGCAGAGGGCCTCAGAAGGCAAGCCCATCTCCTAGAGCAACTCCTGGAGGATCTGAGAAGGGAACTGCTGGACCTTCAGATCCAGTTATAGGAGAGGGCCCACACCCAACCCCAAGACCAGGAATCAAGACCAGGAGAGTGCAGTACTACCACTGGTCTTCATCAGCGGCTGCAGATTGATTATGTAATGGGCAAGGCCTTAACTTCTTGAACTTCTTGAGGCTTCGGAACTCTTGGTGTTCTGGGAGACTAATGGCCTCCTCACTCTGAGTTTGTTGATTAGAATGACACTGCTATCACTCATGTAGGCGGCAACTGCTATGGAGGGAGTCTGAGATTCTGCAGGAGGAACTAAAGTTGCTGGGAGACCAGCTGAGTAAGTAAAAAGTTGAGGGTGATTATGTGTTTCCTTGTCCCTTTTTCTGGAATGCCTCCTAACAAGTGGTCATAGCCCTCCCTGTTTGAGCTATTGAGAAGTTTGGCTTGGTATTTCACCTTGCTGTTTGCCTCTCATGATGTGAGTTTAGTCTCTAGTCAGCTTGGAAGCTTTCCAACAACTGGACCAGGATGCTCTTATCTCAGTTTTCAGCACTACGCAGGTCACAAGGGAAGGAAGAAGTTGGAGAACAGTCATTTTACATTCTCCCTCATCTACAGGCCAGCACCATGGGCTGCTAGTGAAACATATGGCTGAGACCCGGCAGGGTCAGGCATGCAGCTGGAAGGTAGGACCAGGATCAGACCTGTCTATGTATTTCTCAATGGAGGTGCCATCCTTTCTCTGTCTGTTCTATAGATGGGCCAGGATACCATCTCCCACCCCATCTCTACCCATTTCTTCCCTGTGCTGACTTTACCTCTCTCCAAAGTTCTTCTTCCCATTTCCTTTTGCTCTAAGCCATGAGAAATTGTCCTTGCCCACATGAGGGTTTCAAGTGTGCTGATTAGGCCAATTATATGGAGAGACTTTCTTCCTGTAGAAGGAGAGGTTTCATCTTACCTGGGCTCATGGTCTGGCAGATGTTGGAGCAGCAGCAAAGTAGTCAGGAAGGCAAAGATCACATCTTGGAGGTTTCCAGGACAGAAGCCTGGGATGCCCTGTGGGAGTACAACCTCAGGTCAGGAGGTTTGGGTGCTGGGACAGTGGAGAGGATTTGTCTTACAGAGGTCAAGCACAGGCACCAAAGTTCAGCTATTCTAAATTTGGCCTGAAGGGGCAATCTGAGTCCATAGGGGCAACATTGGGCGTTCGTGATCCAGGATCACTGAATACCTTTATATGTTTAGATGCTAAAGGGAGAGGAGACTGGAATCCTGGCTTCAGGAAGAAGGACACTTCTGTGCTGGGAGGGTCCCCTAGACCCATCATTGCCATCTCTACCTCTGACTCTGTCCTTTCCAGTTCCTCCGTTCATGTCTTCCAATCTAAAGTGCCGCTGGCCACCATCACCTTCACCATGTCTCCATCTTTATCTACTAAAGTCAGTCTTCCAAATAGTAACAGTAGCTGGGAACTTTTAAAGAACCTAAGTAGGGGTAATGTCAGGGATCCTGGTTCTGGGGGAAGCTGAATCTGAATGGTACCTGGATGACAGCTGCCAAATGTTTGGCACTGGCTAGACACGTCTTGCCCATCAAACAGGCCCAGGGCCTGGCTCTGTGCATATCATAGTGCTTGCTGATGGTTTTTCTCTTCTCTTTTCCTTCCTCCTAGATCTCCAGAGGAGCACCCTTTCTAACCTCAGACCTGGCAGCTCTCGTCTCCATGCCCAGAGTCTTGAGCAAGAGAACCTATTCTTCCAGGACCACAAGATGCTCTTGAGTGACCCATGAGGACTTGTGAATAGTGTGATGAAGCTTTTTGCCCACCCTCCCCCCAAGGTTGTTTTTGGGTAGTCCTCCCATCCCCTTTGATTCATCTGGGAAGTGGCCTCTCTACCAAGACTTCTCACTGCCTACCTATCCCTCCTCTCCAGCTGCAATAAAGTGGCTTAACTTTCCCTGATGTGTTTTCTGTGAGTGATGATTCACATGAAATGGACTCAGCTGTACCTTTTTTTTTTCCTGTTATGTGACTGCTGGCCTCTGTCTTTTTTTTTTTTCTGGGACTGAGGATTGAAATCAGGACCTTGAGCTTGTAAAGCAGGTGCAGTGCCACTGAACTAAATCCCAGCCCTCCTGTTACGTGACTGCTTCTTGTGATCTCTATCTTTTAAATCTGAGACATCTGTAGCTATACCTTCTACTTACGCACTCAAGTGAAGTTGAAAAGAGAGAGAAGCTCCCCTTCTAGTGAGTTGAATGAAGTAGGATCCTGCTGTGGGGCAGTAGTGCTATGGGGTCACAGAGGACAGTGATATTCTGGTGGACCCTGGAGTTGCACAGTAAGAAGTTTCCTTTCTTAACTTTTTTTTTTTTTTTTG